TATAATGAAGGGTTTTTGTTTGATACAAAAATTAACCCTTCAAAACTTTAATTGAAAATATATTTTCAAAAAATATGGGAGCAGCAAATATTAACAGGTAATTTAATGTTTTGTAGACAACTTAATGTTGCTTTTTTTATTTAAAAAGTTTAATCTAAAATGTCATGCTATTCTTTCTTTTGATTCTTTCTAATATAGTCCTATTCAGCTCTTATCTCTCTCTTCATTAGTAGAGCTCAAAGTGCTTTACAAAGGAAAGTAAATGCGATTATCCCTATTTTACAGTTAGAGAGATGTTAGCACAAAGAGGTTAAAATGACTTGCCCAAGGTCACTCAGCAGGCAACTAACAGTTCAAGGAATAAAATCCAGTTATTCTGAGTCCCAGTCTAGAGCTCTACTAGGTTACACTTCATCTAAGTGTATCATTATTAATTCTTCTCTGATACAGTGAGGTTGTTTTCACACTCATTACTTGAGTCTTGCATAAAGTATCGTTCCTTTTGCATTTTGTAGAAAGGGTCTCTTTTACACAGTCTAAATGTGTTAACAAAAAATTCATTCTGCACTCCCTGAGCATAATCAGGGTTATAATGTGTGTTCTAATGTGAGTGGTTAAAATTAGGTTTACATGACTGAAAGACAACCCACCAAATCATCCAGAGAGACTTTCAACAATCTGATCATGTGAATTGGACTATGTGTAAAACCAGCTACAAAACATAATACAATAAATGTAATGGAATTTATTATGAAAAATATCTTTAAAGTAATGTATATAGTTAATATTTGAGTGTTTTAAATATTAAAATTAGTATTTTTGCAGTCATGGAAAGTTGTACTGTGCTTTATTTACCCCTAAATGAATATCAAAAAATCTTGTAAAATCAAGATGGTTAATACTTCTGAAATGCATGTAGTCTGAGCCTGGTGAAGTGCATAACTTTCTTCTCCTTTAGAATGAAGTCACCCTGCTGAGAAATGAAGTGGCACAGCTGAAACAGCTTCTTCTGGCTCATAAAGATTGCCCTGTAACTGCCATGCAGAAGAAATCTGGCTATCAGAGTGAGTAATGTTCCATTACCTATAGCCTTAGGCTGCATCAGTGAAATACTGCCAAAGTGAACTGAGCAACCATTAAAAACGAGAAGTGCAGTTAAAATATTGAACATCAGATATATAAAATTCTGCAAGCTTATTGCAAGGCAGGAATGAATGTATGATATTTTGTAACTTTTCAAAATGATTTCAGTTTAAAAAATGTTGTAGATTATCTGAAATCTAAAGACAGTTTTGGTTGGTTTTTCTATAAATGTATAAAAGGACTGTAAGCTGCAATAGTGGCTTCTTACAATTAAATTATTGATAGTATATGGTGAACAATCTCTGTAATTCATTATCTTAGGTAAGATGAAAGGTCCTCATTTCTTCCATTTCATAATGAGATTTCCGTGGAGGGTAGGGTAACAGCTGTCCTTATTTACTGGTATATCTAGGATCAGTCAACTCATTAAAATAATCAGATGCAGGTTCTTGGCTCTTACTGTATACTGTTGCAGAAATTGTTCTGACTTAAAATAACTCGTTTATCATAAGAATTTAAGATATTTGAATTTTTAAAATAGGATTCTAAAGTGAAATTAAATCAGTAAAATATAAAATTTTAAGGAGATAAACTGCTTAATTTTTCACCTTTTTAGCATTTTAGAGGTTAATTTTGCTTTTCTTCTAACTTTTTTTTGTTTTTGTTTTGTTTTGTTTTATATGTGGCACCAGAGCTAGAACCAGCTGCTGCTGTAGAATAAATGGCCAATTTTATCCACTGTACACAAATTCGTAACAAATAACTGAGCTGGGAATGCATTAGACAACATTCATAATATATAACCCACAGCTTTCGTTTTTATGATTTAGTGATATTTCAGGATATTTGTAAATGTGAAGATTGTTTCTGCCATATGTAGCCACTTCATTTTAATTTACCAGTGTCAGTAATTCAGGAGAATAAAGGAACATTTTGTATTGCATGCAAACAGTTCCTCAGGTGCTTGCGATAAAACTTAATGGCCACCATCTTTACTTGTAGTCATTGTAAGCAGTTTCATCAGAATGGGCAATATTTTTTAATTTAAAAGATTCAGGAGATTTAGCAACTCTCTGTTGCCATATATATTTAGAATACTGATTTTGTCAGTTTTGAGCTTATAAAACTTAGTCCTTTGATCTCCAGTCATTTTGACAGGACAGAAAATAGTATCTCGGAGTAAATTGGATCCATATAGAAATATGTTTGGGATTTACATTAACAATGATTGCTGCGGGGATGAGGCCATTATGGCTCCCATCTGATAGAACAACATAATTTTGTATAGAAGCTACTAGGGTATACCATTATACATGCATAGTTTTTCTAAACAAGCTAGTTTCTTCAATTTTGATAGTTTGAAGATACATTTTCTCTGGATTTCCATGATAAATTATTAAATTGTGCATTTTTAAATAGATTATTTAATTATATATTAAGGATTTCATTAAAATACTAAAGACTAATGTTTAGTAATGTTGAACTTCATACTTGAAAAATGACTATGGTATTTCTTAATCACTACATATCTTAAAGTTCTTAAACTTGTCTGTTTTAGAAAAGACAAAGGAAAACTAATTCAGTTCTAACAAGGACAGAGAAGGTAAAGATGCTAAAATATCTATCATTAAAAAATGAAGCTGCATTTTAAAAAGTACTAAAAGACATACAGAAGGAAAAATGAAGGCATAGTTCTCTTAGTATTTTGTAAAACCTTTGGCATAGTGCCACACAAAATAATCTACAAGATTAGCGTAATGAGTAATATAGTGTGGGGATGAGCTGGGTACGTAAGAGGATAAAGGAAGTGCATGCACACCAAACTCTCGTCACACTCTGTATGCATGTTATGTCCTGAGTACTTCGCAATAGCTTTGTAAGGGTTCGGCTAGACTGCGGGGATCTATCAGATAAAGATATGCAAAATGCGGTGCATAAATCTTTTCCCAATTACTTTGTTGGAAGAGGCTTTTCCAAAATTTGGCCCGTCTAGACTGGGCCAAATTCTGGGGAAAAAAACCCTCTTTTGAAAGCCCCCTTGTTCCTTGTGGAACAAGGAATACAGGGGCTTTTGA